AATATTGAGTGCAAGGAAATAATGATTCAACGAGAATCCAGGGGGGAAATGTTGGTTAGCGTTAGCATCACACACTATAAATATAATGATCCCTTCAAGCTGGTGGACAGAAACTGAATCAAATAACTTGTCATTGGCGATATAAACTTAGTAAACTGATCGGATTTGCATTACAAATAATTTGATGCAAAGACCTACCGTCCACTGGGTGTCTGGGAGTCCCGTTATGTAACGGATGAGGAGGAGGAGACGAAACTGGCGCGTTAGCGGTCCTTGGTGCTGCACAAAACATAACATAGCGCCACATTGGGTACAAAACTGTACATTGGCATTTTAACACACAGATCAGTTTTTTTACATTGTCATATCAGTCTTACACTAGACCAAAACATGAGTCACTTACAGTTTTCAAGCTGGTTAGCCGCATCCCGCAGAAGGTCTGCCAGCGCCCTTCCAGCCGAAGCCATTATTAGCGAGTTGCCGACAATGTACACAGAATGTACAGATGTGACTTGCCACGAATCTATTGCTTCTGCCTGGCTCCAACAATTGGCGAATCCTGCTTCAGACTGAGGTTAGGACCGCCCACCTCATTAGCATACGGACACATAAATACATAAATAAATAAATGTATGTCGCGTAAATGTAGAAATAAATGAAAGATATATAATAACGTGTGTTCTGTTTTATTTTCGACTTTTATTTATTTATTCATTGATGTATTTATTTCCATATTTATTTATGCATTTATTCTTTTATTTATTTATTTGTGTATTAATTTCAACATTTATTTATTTCTGTATTTATTTCGTCATTTATTTATTCCTGTATTTATTTATTCCTGTATTTATTTATTTATTTACGTATTTATTTATTTATTCCTGTATTTCTTCATACATTTATTTATTTATACTTAAGTCATGTTCCGTCCTCCATAGAGAACACTTCCATGATCAATCATTATAAAACATATCATATACACTGAACAAAAATATAAATGCAACACTTTTGTTTTTGCTCCCATTTTTCATGAGATGAACTCAAAGATCTAAAACATTTTCTATATACACAAAATAACCATTTCTCTCAAATATTGTTCACAAATCTGAAAAAATCTGTGATAGTGAGCACTTCTCCTTTGCCGAGATAATCCATCCCACCTCACAGGTGTGGCATATAAAGATGCTGATTAGACAGCATGATTATTGCACAGGTGTGCCTTAGGCTGGCCACAATCACGGGATCAAAAGATAACTTTTCTCTCTCCATTGACTTCAATGTATAATTTTCCGCTTCCGGGGTCCCATGGAGGCTCCCGGAAAGGGAGGGACTTCGCCTCTCTATATATTACCCGGACAGACCAACGAGGAAACTGATGGCCGACGTTAGATAGACTAAGAGAGATGCTACAAGCTAGCTTCAACTTAGTTAGCCTTGTGCATCATTTGCATTCTTTCACACACACATACGGGTATTGGGCCGAGGGCGACACCGTACTTCCGGTATCCGCCATTTCACACGAGGTGCAAGCAGAATATCATAGTCTATTGCCTTAATCAATATCTAGTCAACTCTAAAATACCACATATATTCAATGGCATGATAATATTATTGTGACAAGTGGGGTATTCACCTGGTGTTTCCAGAAATTAGACGTAGATGCAGCCAAAATCGACGAAGGCCACTTTCGAGGGTCGTTTTTCCATACATCTGCAGGCAGTCTGTAAGGGCAATCCGACAACCCACACAGCTCTAGTTTACGCTGGTAACGACCTAGAGCACACCCCTCAAGTCCAGAGATGTAATGTAAAAAACATGCAGCGATTTCTTCGGTGGTTAATTCAGAAAAAAAACCTAGTGCGCTCTGCCTGGATACGTTAGCTAGCTGTTTATATTTGCACCTCCAGGATATTTGCACCTCTAGGAAAATGGCGTATTTATATATATATATATATGGCGCGCGTTGCATTGTGGGTAGCTCGTGACGTCACTGTGTGTGAAATAATTTGTCCCCCGCAAACCGTTACGGTACTCAATACTACTCAACCGGGTCAGAGTTCGTAATATTACTTGAACTGACATGCTATTTAATAAACGGCTACTTATTTTTGCAGTGTGCATCACGTATGCATGTCCATTGGATACTGTTTGGAAAATAACATTGGACAAACACACATTATATAGAGGACGACCAACTTCAAAGGTTGATTTAAACGAATGCCGCCTTCCGCGCGCTGTTCTTGTTAGTACTTAGCTAGCAAACAATAGCCTTCTCTGCTAATCATGCACGATGCTAACGTGAAACACAAATGGGCTGCTTAGCTCACATTAACCAGCTCTGACATTAACATACAACTGTCGCCGTGACGCTTAACTCATTGCAGACAACAGATAACAATTATTAACAATATGGAGCTAAACATCATAGTGCTTTACTCTTAGCTCCTATGTTAGCTACAGCTATCATCAGTAACCGACTTCCAGTGAGTAATAGATGAGAACAAACTTAAATTCCTTGTCTAACAGTGAAGCAAGCAGACAACAAGTCTTGTGATGAACCTAAAAAAACGTGAACATTTATATGTAGGACATGATAGACAGTAATATCTTACCTTCCAACATTTCCACATACCAGGAGGGAGGCGCGAAAGAGAACCGTTCATCTGGCCGCAGACGCATGCGCAAAGGGGCAGTGTGGGCCTAATGTCTTCAAGTAGATTTTACCCAGATTGTTTGTGTTTCAGTTGGTACTGTCAGAAATTAGGTAGTGTAGGTAGAATTTACCCATTCATATACTAACAATGCTCACTTATATACCTTGAGTACAATTTAAATGATTTGCTTGGATAATATATACTACCCCCTGTAGAGGGAACTTCTGTGTAGCAATGCATGGGAGTCACCGACTCAGGAAGGAGACAAGGTAGAGCAGGAGCTTTGATGTCAAAACACTGCACGTCAATTCTAAAGAACTCTACCTCAGACCCATGTATTTAACTAGTTCTGAGAGCATCATCAAACTGCTGCATAACAAGATAAAATCATAACACCTCTATCAGCTGACGTCAACAGGCAGGAACATAGAATCATAACACCTCTATCAGCTGACGCCAACAGAAAGGAACAGGGAGACAGAACACTGAGAGCACAGCAGCCAAGGTTACGAGGTGCGTGTGCTCAGTCAGGACAGTTTGAACTGATAAACTGGGTCAAAGTTATGGGCCTTGGAAAATATTCCACAACACCCCCCATCCTTTTTTATAGTGTATCTACGCCGGGATCCGGAGTCGAGGCTGATCCTCTTGCTGTAGTCCTGTGTCTTGGATCCTCTATCCTGAGTTCTGGATTAAGTCGTGGACTTCGGGTCGTGGCTGAACCTGTCTCTGCAGTCCTGCCTTGGGTCTCGTCATGCTGCTTCCCTGATGGCTTCCACAGGATTGTAGCTGACATCCTCGTGGATTCATCTTCTTATTACACATGCATTTCCTAACATTTAGTCTATATGCTGTAAAATGTATTATCTCTTCGATTTACACACGGCATCTATTGCACGTCTGTCCGTCCTGGGAGAGGGATCCCTCCTCTGTTGCTCTCCCTGAGGTTTCTCCCATTTTCCCCCCTTAAACTGTGGGTTTTCTCATGGAAGTTTTTCCTTTTACGATGTGAGGGTCTAAGGATAGAGGGTGTCATTTTTCTCATACTGATATTCTGAACAATCTGTGCTGTTGTATTTGCTGTAAAGTGTCTCTACTGTAGGCTATTTTTATTATATGTACAGCACTTTGGCTTGACCAAAAATCGTTTATAAATGTGCTATATAAATAAAACTTGATTTGATTTGATTTGATGACTTCCTCACCTGTGCAACGGGAAAAGTCCATCAATCCAGCAGTAAAAAAACTTGTGAAATGGTTGTGTTTTTGCACACAGAATACAATCTGTATTATATTAAATGATGATGTCTAAAAATACATCTTAATAAATTAAATAAATTGGGAGAACCAGGGATTTATTGTGTGTTTCCTCACACAATTAGGTTTTCCAAATGCTGTCCACAAGTTTTAATGTGTCAATCAATAGGGTTATGGAACTATCACAGACATACTGCATATCGGAATACTTTGATTGCCTTTTACACAATTGATTCACTTGAATGGGAAACACTTTTAGATGGTGATATTCAACACAATGCTTGGATCAGTTACATCTGATTTTCTACGATTTTCTATGAATTCTAGGATTCAAATGTATAGCTGTAAATTATATTTATCCTCATAATTTAATATTCTCCGTTTGCTTTTTATCAGATGGAAAATATTCATAAATACTTGCTTTGCTGTACTTTGATTGTCCTTAATGCCTCCTTAAATCTCAAACAACATCTATGACTATCAGTTGTATCTGGTTTTGTTGCATAATATTGTTTAACCAGACATCTATGCATGTGGAAGCAGCAAGTTAACATAGCTAAAGCTCATGATCCTGTAAGAGACTCCATTACATGTTAGCACGTGAGGTGCATTGAGATTTAAGAAATGGCCCCTTCAGTTTAGACACATGCTTCAGAGATTAAGCCAACAAAATGTTAGCCTGCTCAGCTGTGCAAGTTGTAATTAAAAGTTCTTGGTGTACAAAGCACCCAAGTCTCACAATAAAAAGGGGCCCCTTTTGAAAAGACTGACAACTCTGCCAGGCAAACTGTGTCTGCCCCGTTGCACAATGATAATTGGGGGTCTGTTTACACGTTTGAGGCCAAATGCATAAAGTGCCTTTTTAGAGGTACAGAAGCAAGTCTATTCTGGCCAACGTTTCCCAAAGTGCCCTGAAAAACTGGTACCAACTCCTGATGTGTTGGGCATGACTTCCAGTAATCGGCTTAAAAGCTGGATACATTAGAATTCTGTGTAACGTGAGAATAAAAGCAGCGGTGCGAGGAGTTGAACTATAGGTTCGGATGGTTTGCTTCTGGAGTTGAACGTGTTTACACCGACCATGTTGCCATGAGTCCATGTGACAGCGAGGGGAGGGCACAGTGGCCAAAAGGAGTTAGGCACAAGAATGTGAGGAGGAGAGATGGAAACAAGAGTGAGAGTGAGTACAGCAAAGTTACCGAAGCTGGCTTGAAATTAAGGTAAGAAAATGATCCGCTATTTCTTATTTATTGTCATTATTACATTTTTGCTTTTCACAAGGTAAGACTGCAACTATGGTATTCCTAAATTATCACCAGTCATTTTTATGAAAAGACCAAAATAGAACAAATTCATTATAAATTATTCTGTATAACAGCCTGCTAACCAACTGTTAGAAACATTAAGATGCATGTTGTTTTCCAAAGTTTACACTTAAAATGCAGGTCATATATGCACCATCAATTAAATCAATTGAAGTTAATATACGTACATGTTTGTTGTTTATATATAGATATCGCTTTGGATAAAAGCATCAGCTAAATGTAATGTAATGTTATGTATGTACTGTGTTAGGCTGCAAAGACAATAACTGAACAACTTAATTGTTAGATTTTTTCTCATAAAGAAATGTATTGATTGTAAGGAAAATATAAAATGATGCAATTGATTTTAAATGATCTGTAATTGATTTAGAGACATGTTAAAAGCCTGAAGCTTAGGTCGCAGTTACACAATCAAATAACATCAATCATTTAAGAACAAAACAGTGATTTAAATTAGAGAAAATGTTTGGAGTAGTCTGACATGTCTTGTGAGTGTACAGTGTGGACGAAACAACAAGATCATAAAGATATACACAATGAAAGATGGCTGAGGGATGGCACAATACTCAGCAGTAGTAGAGGAGAAGGACATAATGTCAGATTACACAGACTTCAGTTGTAATGCTACTTGTAATCGTTTTTGGGGTTTACCTAAAGTATGTTTAAATTTGAAGACCATGTGTGTTTTTACTTCTTTTGCTGTGTGGTTTAGTCATTAAGAGATATATTTATAAAATACATCATACATACAAACAATTAAAAATAAATCGTCTTAAGATGCAGTCGTTTTTTCCCACAAAAAAGTTAAATTATCTTTTTAAAAATCCAGAATAAGCTGATTTGTTGAACTAAAAACATATACGGATATAACATGTCTTAACACCAGTGTCAGCTGCATTCTGGACCGCAACTGGCTTCCCAACCATGTGATGACAAAAAAAACATAATAATAATAATAAATAAACATAATATTAGATCACACGTTGTAACGGTACTTATAATAGTTTTTGGGGTTTACCTAAAGTATGTTTAAGTTGGAAGACCATTTGTATTTTTACTTTTGCTGTGTTGCTTAGTCATTAAGAGATAGATTAATACAAATAAATCATACTGTAAAGTCAAACAGAGCCTAGGCTTTAATAAATACAAGAGTAAAAACAGACTACAAGTAGTCAGAAAACAAGTCACCAATTAGTAGGGATATTCAACAGGTGTAAATGATCGCAGGCAGTCCTGCCTCCTCTAGCAAGCTGGGTGCAATCACCCTAATCAGAGAGCCCCAGCTGCAGTAGGAAGAAGGTTTGATTGATTGAAAAGTTTATTAACAGCTTGTATATTGGGTACAGTACAGTACAGTACAGCTCAAAACATACAATTGTTAAGGGGATGCAGACCAGAGAAAGACTTTCGTCTTGTTTACATCAGGGTCCCCCATTTCCAATTCATCCAAGGTATTTAAATAGTTGCTGTGTGCGATCCAGGGAGACGGAAGCATGTAGACGGGAGGCATTTTTCTACTAAGTCAGGACAGGCAGCCGGTAAGAGCAGATCAAAAATGTTGTGTAAGAGCTCCGCAGAGCCGCTGATGTTATGTTCTGTTTGGATTGTTTGCGTGTGTGTCACGTGTCTTGTCAAAACTCTGCGCAGCATTGTGGGGGGCATTCTGTGCTTGGACGCTCTGTTGGTTATCTTCGGAGGGATAGGTGGGAGAGAGAGAGGGATTTATATTTGGAAAGTTTAATTTTTGATTTACTTAGAATCCTGTTGTTTTGACCCACTGAAGAGTCCTGCTAAAAAGGGGAGTAAGTTATTCATTCATGTTCATTTTGTTTGTTAGAAGCATTTGATAGTGAGGTTTATTTACATGTTTTGTTTGTTTTGATCACTAAAATGCACCTTTCTTGTTTAAAGGTTTTTCACCTGAATAAAACTGCTGAATAAAGCTGCTTAATAAAGATGCTGAATGAAGCTGATTAAAGCTGCTTCATGAAGCTGCATAATCTACTAAATAAAAAGTCTAAAAGAAAAGCTGCGGAGTGGAATCCTGTTATTAACGTCCAGTAGATGCCTCGAGTCCCTTTCAAGTGGGGAGTCTGCAAAAAAACAGCGAAACTTGACACATACATAGATACATGAAAACAATAATGACTTAAGATGCATTCGTTTCTTTCCACAAAATTGTTAAATTATCAATATCTTTCACTGAAAACATATATGGGTAGGATATAACATTTCTTAACACCAGTGTCAGCTGCATACTGAACCGCAACTGGCTTCCCAACCATCTGTGATGACATAAAACATACCGGTACATGCTGAGATTCAAGGGGAGCAAAGAGAAACTTTCCCTCTTCAACAAGTCAATGTGGAAACAGCATCTGATGTAGACTCTGCACGTTCATCATACTGCAAAGTACACGTCAACCATTCAAATGAAGCAGTACACATGATGTTATTACATATGCAGGTGTAAACTCTGGCTTCTTTTACATTTTTGCTGATTAATGGTATGCTGGACTTTGACTGAACTCTAAAAGCTGCTGCTGTCCTGGCTTCACATTGGTGATATTATGCATTCCTGTTATAGTATTATCAATCAACACTAATCAAGTATTTGATGTAATTTGCCCGAGTTTTTAAAATTCCCCTGTAGACAACTAAAAGAATGCAATCCAATTTAAAAGTTGGGCTTGGAATAAAGCAAGTAGGCTGGAAAACTGTGTGGATAAACCCATCCATCTTCTCCCGCTTATCCGTGGTCGGGTCGCGGGGGTAGCAGTTCCAGCAGAGAGCGCCAAACTTTATTTTCCCTGGCGACATCAACCAGCTCTGACTGGAGGATTCCAAGGCGCTCCCAGGCCAGCGAAGAGATATCATCCCTCCACCTGGTCCTAGGTCTACCCCTTGGTCTCTTCCCAGCTGGACGTGCCTGGAACGCCTCCCTAGGGAGGCGCCCAGGTGGCATCCTAACTAGGTGCCCGAACCACCTCAACTGGCTCCTTTCGACGCGAAGGAGGAGCGGCTCAACTCCGAGTCCCTCCCGGATGACTGAACTTCTCACCTTATCCCTAAGGGAGACACCAGCCACCCTGCAGAGAAAACCCATCTCGGCCGCTTGTATCCGCGATGTCGTTCTTTCGGTCATGACCCATCCTTCATGACCATAGGTGAGGGTAGGAACGAAAATGGCCCGGTAGACAGAGAGCTTTGCCTTCTGGCTCAGCTCCCTTTTCGTCACAACGGTGCGGTAAGGCGACTGCAGTACCGCTCCCGCTGCTCCGATTCTCCGGCCCATCTCACGCTCCATTGTTCCCTCACTCGAGAACAAGACCCCGAGATACTTGAACTCCTTCATTTGGGGTAAGGACTCATTCCTTACTTGGAGTGGACAGTCCATCGGTTTCCTGCTGAGAACCATGGCCTCAGATTTGGAGGTGCTGATCCTCATCCCAGCCGCTTCACACTCGGTTGCGAACCGATCCAGTGAGTGCTGAAGGTCGCAGACCGATGAAGCCATTAGAACCACATCATCTGCAAAAAGCAGTGGTGCAATCCTTAGTCCACCGAACTGCAGACCCCCTCCCCCATGACTACGCCTCGAAATCCGATCCATGTATATTACAAACAGGATTGGTGACAAAGCGCAGCCCTGGCGGAGGCCAACCCTCACCGGAAATGGGTCCGACTTACTGCCGAGGACCCGGACACAGCTCTCGCTTTGGGAGTACAGAGATTGGATGGCCTTGAGTAGAGACCCCCTCACCCCATACTCCCGCAGCACCTCCCACAGTAACTCCCTGGGAACTCGGTCATACGCCTTCTCCAAGTCTACAAAACACATGTAGACCGGATAAGCGTACTCCCAAGCCCCCTCCAGGATCCTTGCGAGAGTAAAAAGCTGATCCGTCGTTCCACGACCAGGACAGAATCCGCATTGTTCCTCCTCAATCTGAGGTTCGACAATCGGCCTGACCCTCCTTTCGAGTACCTTAGAGTAAACTTGGATAAACCCAACTAAACTCAATAAATAGCAGGTTAAATATTAGTAATACTCAATTTATTCTCAAATGAATACTGAAATCAAATGCTAGATGCTGAATTTATGTGTATTGACGTCTATTGAATGCAAAAACAAACTGTTGCCTTAGCTGGTAATGTATTTAACTTGCTTTGTGTGCCAGGTGAGAGCCGCAGCCCAGCCGTGTTGGGATGAGCGCCACAATGAACGTCACATTAGTCTACAAGGGAATAACTGACATTTACAATGAGGCAAACGTCTCTGGCAATGGAAGTGGTATGGGTGTCTTGAACATCCCCCCTTCCCTAAACAAAGCCATCAACATCCTCTTGGTCGGCATCCTCTTCATCATCATGATATCTCTTGGCTGTACGATGGAGATTTCCAAAATAAAGGCCCATCTCTTTAAGCCAAAAGGAGTATCCATTGCTCTGCTGGCCCAGTTCGGCATCATGCCCCTGACTGCTTTCTCTCTAGCCAAAATCCTGCAGATGGAACCCATCAAGGCTGTGACTGTGCTCATCTGCGGCTGCTGTCCAGGGGGAAGCCTGTCCAACATTTTTTCCCTGGCTATGAAGGGTGACATGAACCTCAGGTGAACCCTCATTCATGTTTTGATTCCAGGTAACAACATTGAAGGCAGGTCAGCCTAACAAAGCTTCTTCTCTCTCTAACACCTCCACAGCATCGTGATGACCACCTGCTCCAGCATTGCTGCTCTGGGTCTGATGCCGTTGCTGCTCTATATCTACTGCCAAGGTTTTGACGGTCTGGAAGATGTCGTACCGTACGTCGGCATCATCTCTGCTCTCGCCCTCACCCTAGTGCCTTGTGCCATTGGCATAGCCATAAACCACTACAAACCCAAATACTCACCGTTCATCAAGAAAGTGAGACTGAAATTTGAAAGCAAACATTTTGGACTTGTCATATCGGGAAAACCAGCATGCACAATACCAGAAAACTGAACCATTGAATTATTTTATACACCTGTGCTTTTACAACTGGAAAACATAATGAAAAAGGCCAAGTTTCCTTGAAAAGTCATCATGGCATTGGTGTAATTTGGTACAAATAAACAGGAAGTCCTTTAACTCTGAAAGCAGACCTTGAAGCCTCCAGATGATGTTTGCCACATTTAGAATTAGGCAGGAACAAAGTAGTTTTTTTTCAGTACATTTCATGTTGCGATTCATTAACTGACCCTTGTAACATGTTGTTGCTTTCTCCTCAGGCTGGTCTCGGCATCCTGACAGTTGCAGCTGTCCTAGTGTTCGGTCTGTCTTATTTCGCCATCAAAGATGTGTTATGGCTCGTCCTCACACCGGATGTGCTGGCCGTGGCGGCTCTGATGCCTCTGATTGGATTTACACTGGGATATGTGATGTCTATGATATGCAGACTCGGTCCAAAGTAAGTGAAAAAACTCTATAATAGGGTTGCCTTCATTGTTTTGTATGATGTGAGGGGATAATTGGTTGTATACTTGATTAAAAACACACAATAGAAACAAATAAAGGTTTTTTGCAACCCTTTGGTTTAATCTTAAGGGCCTGATCAATAGCTATATAGTGAATATAATTACTATAAACACTATTATACAAGTTTATACAATATGATGCTCCAACAGAGGAAACTGTAAAAAGTATAGTTATAACAGTAAAAGGCTACTTACACATTTATGCATCAGTGTTAATTAATAAATAGGTAATAGTCAAACCTTCACAAGAGCCGTCTTTTACTTTTGATACTAATTAAGCAAACATTTCATTTTAATTAAGGATCTAAATCCCGTCTCAAAGTTTTATTTTAAACCAACCTACAGTGTTAAAATAAGTGAAGAAAAACTAGATTCAAAATCTGGGGAAAATCATATTATTTCAAGACAAAACCCTGAGTACTGTCCTGGATCTGCATGCCTCACTGAAATCACGAACAGTCAGCTTCTCCAGCTCAGCCCCTTGGTTCACTTCAGAGTTACGTAGCATGAAGGCAGCTGGGCGTGTACTCGAGCGGCATCTCGCACGATCTGGACTCACTGTTCACAGATTAGCCTATCAGGAACATCAAAAAACCTATTCAAAGTCACTCAAAAAAGCACGGTCACAGTTCTACTCATCAGTAAAAATCCTGGAAAATCCAAGCAGCTTTTCTCTACTGTTGATCATCTCCTCAAACCACAAACTCACACATCGACAGAAGAGCAATGCAATAACTTTGTTACTTTCTTCAGGACAAAAGTTGCCACTATTCGCTCTCTTCTCTCCACCCCTTGCGCTGTGTCTGTCCCTACTGTTAACCCACAGCATGGGATTTTCCAACCGCTCTGCTGCTTCGCGGAGATCTCTCGGCAAGAGGTTGAGGACATCATCTGCAAGATGAAACCCTCCACCTGCACACTAGACCCTCTACCCACAGCCCTTGTCAAATCGAACATCTCGGCTATAAGTCCCATGATCAGCTCCCTCAAGGCTGGTCATGTTCCATCGGCTCTTTACAACGTCATCAGACCCCTTATCAAAAAACCCACCCTAGACCCAGATGTCCTCGCCAACTACAGGCCCATCTCCAACCTCCCATTTATAGCCAAGGTGCTGGAAAAAGTACTTGCCGCTCAGCTTCAGGACCATCTACAACTAAACGGCCTCTTTGAGAAATTCCAGTCCAGTTTCCGTTCCGCCCACAGCAATGAAACGTCTCTGGTCAGGGTCACAAACGACCTGTTAATGATGGTTCCCCATCTCTCCTTATCCTCCTGGATCTGACTGCAGCATTCGACACTGTCGACCATAACATCCTCCTTCAGCGCCTCGAACACACCATCGGACTCTCTGACTCCGCCCTGAGCTGGTTCCAGTCGAGTACGTCTCCTTGGGAGGTCCCAGACACACCCTGTCACCTGTGGTGTCCCTCAAGGGTCGGTCCTCAGGCCCACTCTGTTCACCCTGTACACTCTTCCCCTTGGCCGTGTCATCAGCAAGCATGGAATATCATTCCATTGCTACGCTGATGACATGCAGCTATATATAAAGACAGACCCTATCCCACTGCTTCCTCACTGTCACCATCATCACCGTTCTCATCAACATCCCTTAACACCTGCATTGAGGAGATAAAGGCTTGGATGCAACAAAACGTCCTGCAGCTTAATAGCTCCAAAACAGAAGCTATTTTAGTTGGCACACCAAACCAGGTCCAGTCATCCCACATTACCTTTTCTGGCCAAAACATACCCCTCTCCACAGCAGTTACCAACCTGGGTGTAAGATTTGACTGACATCTGACCTTTGACACCCACATCTAACACCTGTGCAAAACATCCTACTACCACCTCGGGAACATTGCAAAACCCCGTCCCGCACGCTCCCTGTCAGATGCTGAACAACTGGTCCATGCCTTCGTCTCCTCAAGGCTCGATTACTGCAACGCTCTCATCGGGACTCCTAGCGGGAGCATTCAGAAGCTCCAATACGTACAGAACAGTGCCGCTAGGATCCTGATGAGGGTGAGAAAATACAACCACATCACACCCGTTCTTCATTCCCTCCACTGGCTTCCTGTCTCATTCAGGATCGAATACAAGATCGCACTACTGACCCATCAGTGCATCCACGGGAACGCTCCTCCGGAGTCCATACCTGAAAGAACTTCTCACATCACAAACCTCCACGCGCAACCTCCGCTCCACAACCAACCATCGGCTTCGCCCCCCGAGGACCAAACTCCGCACAATGGGGGATCAGGCTTTCTGTGCAGCTGCTCTTCACCTGTGGAATTCCCTCCCAGACCACCTGAGGACTCCACAGACCACTGACGCCTTCAAGAAAGACCTAAAAACCTTTTTCTTTAAAAAAGCCTTTGATTAAACTTTTGTTTCTTTTGTTTTTATTATGCCTCCTGTAGCACCTTGGGATTGCTGTTAGCAATGAAAGGTGCTTTACAAATCAAATGTATTATTACATGTCAATACAATTGGTGCATTTGAGTATGAAATTACTAATGCCAAGTAACTCACCTCTCTTTAGATGCAGCAGGACAGTCTCCATGGAAACAGGGTGTCAAAACATCCAGCTGTGCACTACCATCCTTAAAGTGGCCTTTTCCCCCCAGGTCATAGGACCCATGTTTCTCTTCCCGCTGGTATACTTCACATTCCAGATTGCGGAGGCCCTGCTGCTGACCCTCTGCTTCAGATGTTACCGAGCATTCAAGCCATTGGCCGAGGGTAACTGTCACAGCTGTCCCAGTGTTTTTGTACAGCTGTGTCCAGCACACAGACATTTGGAGCTATTGGTGTTTTGAATTAGACTATTAAAATGTAAATGTACCTCTCTTACACAGACGGTGATGATGTTAAACAAAAGGGAGGTGAAGCGGCCATGATAGTGCCACAAATCACCGCCTAGTGCTGGAGCGAGGAGCCGAATCCTACCTAGTGAAGACTCCATAACATGTTCTACACTCAGGCCTGTGATAGGGAAGACTGGTGAAACAAGGGCGACTAATACTCTTAATACTGTCTACTTAATCAATTCTATAAAATGGTGACTATATGTACGGTTTAATATGCCATGATTTAAAAAATATATATATATATTTTGTATTTATATTTTTGTACTTAAAATGTGCTAATTTTGTGACTTACAATTTGACAATAAATGAATTTGTGGATAAAATATATTGATGTGTCATGTGGTCTTTTGAGACTGTTGAATACTTCAATTAATTCAGACCAAATGAAAAAGAAGGATAAAGGCAATTTGAACATCTCAAATAATATTTAATCAAAATAATTGTATGGTATATACAGAGTAAATTTAACTTAATACATTTTACATATATTAAAATTACCATCTTCACAGAAACACAAAAAAAAAAATGAATTCCTCAGTCCAAAAGTAAATGTAATGGACAGTCAAACCAAGTGAACACTAACATTACACTGATCTGTACACTTACTCACGTGTAGGCGCGTCCAAACAACATTAACAGTGTCACTCAGAACATGTCTGCATTAGAATCAAAACTAAAGCGGCAAAGTGATAAGACTTTCTCCAAGAGCTGTGAAAGCATTAAAAAGAAGACATGGCTGATCAACAGCGTTGTGGGCACAAATAAATACACATCTTAAATTTCCCGTTTACACTCAAAACAGGAATTTACAAGCAGCCTGAATAAATTAAGAGAATAATATTTTCTGGTGTAGAAGTGATGTGTCTGACAAAGCCACACATATCACTAACGCAGCGTCCACACGGCGGCGCGCGTTGAAGCTTGCCGGCAGGCGTGTCTGAAACTCGACCAACAACCAATCACCTGAATCTCCCGCCCCGGACACACAAGCAGCGGCTAGAGCTTGTACTGGCATATGATTTGATTGGCTGACGCTTCCGCCGAAGTTTCAAAAGTTGAACATTGCTCAACTTTTGAAGCGAGCAACGCTCCCACAATGCAGTTCGGCAAAGTGTGACATCACCCCATTCAAAGTGAATGGGCAGAAGCATTGAAGCTTCAACGCACGCCGCCGTGTGGACGGGCCATAAGCTGTGGAGGCATTTAGCTGACATTCATGTTTCAAATTCCTTATTTTTACAGAATCCTGTGCATAGAAGTGGAAAGCTAAGGCCATTGGGGGCAAGAGTTGGAATATGAAGAGAATACGTCTGAAAGCTTTGCGAGAGTGAAATGTGCTTAATGCAGGCCTGGGAAAAAAAGTGTTTGCCCTCAATCCAATGAAAAATGCAGCTGAGTGATCTCTTGGGGGGACAAGTTACCTTAAACTGTACAGTGACATGTGGAAGGACATGAATAATAACACCTTAAGTAATACTTTCTAATCACAAAAACCTTGTGAAGACAATGCTGTGAGCGTAAATGACTTGGACAATAATCTTGATTTCCTTCTTTCATGCATCTTCACCGATTCTGGTGCGAAATGTGGGTAAAGAAACAGTGAACAAACACTGAAGAGATTATTAGCTCTCAAACTGAGTTCCCCCACTAAACTGAAATACAACAGGCATTAAGTCCAACAGCCTGTAAGACACACTGTCTTCATTTTTCTTCCTTTCTGTTTTTGTTCCACGTTTTCAAACGGAGCTTCAGACATTAGACGTACATACATAGATAAAGAATTCTTATGAAAAATGTAAGCATGTATGTACATGTGAATCCCTTCTCTCTTCTCCTTTGGGATGGGCCGAGGAACTACTCTGAGTGACCCACAGCTTCACTCAGAGCCTCGTCTGTGTTGACAGCTGTGTTGACAAACTCTCAAGAGTTACCCGCTCACCAGTGCAGGTCAGGAGCAACGCTGGTTTCCTCGAGTAAGTACAAAGGCTGTTGCATTTTTCAGGCCTCCTTCAACAATGGCATATCTGTAGACAAAAGACCATTATTAGCAAAGAGGGGGTTTTAGGTAAGTAAGAAGTGTGTTTGAATTGGGCTTCACCATCAGAGTAGTCCATCTCAGAGTCCAGAGACAGGTTGTGATGGTCGCTGCCTGCAGACGGCCTTCTTTGAGAGTATGATGGAGCTGCAGCACCTGCGTGCTCCAGAACCCAGGTGGAGGATGAGGGTGAAGGTGACGAGGAGGACGGCACAGGGTGGACCACGGCCATCTCTGACTGCTGCTGTTTGAGGGAAGAAGGTCGAGAGGGGCCAGCCTCTGGCGCTGTGGCGTGCTGACCCTCAGACAGCACTATCTGGACTCGAGACTCGGAGCTGAGGGACGTGGCTCCACAAGTATTCACAGCCTCATCGTACGAGGGCAGAGTCACCTGGACTCCTTCCACCATGATGGACACGGGCTGTCCGGACACTCCCTGATCCCGTCTAGGTGTGAAGGATGAGAAGACAGTTAGTTACCACTAGTTTCTTGAGTGTAAAGTGCTTTTCCGTATTTTGAGGGCAGACTCACCGATGGAGGGATTTTAGTTTTGGCTGCAGAAGAACAAACAGCACCACCAGGAGCAGTATTAGGGCCACTGAGCTGGCTGTGGAGGCCACTATGGACAGGGCGGGCATCCCCAATGGTAAAGTTGGGTTGTGGTCTGTGAAATACATAACAGTTGACACAGTTATGTGTACAGAAGTTAATTGAATTATTTATGTAATAGTACAAAATGTGTAATCTATTTGTGTGCCTTGCTCCATGAGGCAGCTGAGCTTCATTTGGCTGTCCCATTCTCCATACTGACAGGTAAGGTATTTATAGTCTCCCTTCAGGACATAGCCTTCCTCACAGAAATACTCAATCACAGTGCCCTGAGAAAGTCTTTGGCATGGGGCGGGGTGGCAGGTGTAGCCCCCATTTGCTGGCTGAAATGGAGGCTGGCAAACTGTCGACAGAGGAGAAAGGAAACAATAAATACATAAACTCCACTGCTGTATGTTATTACTTGAATTCTGTTAACAAGCAATAAACTGTTTACATTTGTCTTGTGTTTTATTAAACGTTTTTTGCGTGAATCTTCCCTAAGTGTACAAAAATGACATGTGGAGTTCCCTAAGTCTCCCCTCCTGGTGCCTCTTTAGTTCAACTGCTCCCACTAGCTTACATTATTTAAAAACGACTTCATATCTTCTGGAGGTCTGTCTTTACCGTCACTGCGTATACAGCGGGGAGGTTCAGAGGACCAGTGTCCCAGTGCAGAGCAGGTGAGAAAGCTGGGTCCGTCGGGCAGGTAACCGGGGTCGCAGCTGTACTCCAGTACGGTGCCCACAGGGAACGAGCTTCTGTTGGTTTCTGTCAGATTAGTGGACCCGTGCTGCACCGTAGAGGGCCTTATACAACCTTAAAAGGGGGTAAACAAATACAGTTAAAAGCTGAATTTACAACAAAAAAACATATACAGGCTTTGTCTATAAAAGCACTTAAAAGGACGTTTCAGCTATTTGCGCTAATAGCTGATACGTGTCAGTTAATCTATCTATACCTTGCTATGTAAGGCAGCTGCTCGACATTAGTCTGCCCCATTTCCAATACTGACAATAACGGAATTTATAGTAGGCTTCAGATTATAACCTTCATCACATAAATACTGAATCCCAGTGCCATGAGGTAGCCTTCCACAAGTGAGCTCCTGTTCTCTGATTGATATTGACTGTGGCATACTGTCGATTGAAGAAAGGGAAAACAATAAAACACAAACTCAGATGCTGTATCTTGTTTCGCTCCGTGTCATCTCAGTGCATCTGTTTGTAATAAAACTTGCTTTGTCTCCATCCAAGGATATTCGGAGTATTCAACAATCTGGGCAGCGCATTGATCATAACTCGTCTGTTTTTGTTATTGCAGTTGCTGGATGTTGATTTAAGAGGAAAGAAGTTTTTCTCTGATCTCTTGTGGAGTTGGTTTGTATGATCAGCCCCGATATGTCTCCGACTGCATTTACAGGAAAACACTCATGTTGTTTTTGGATATAAACAAACTGTTTGTGTTACGAACACAGAACGCTGAAATACATAGGGAAAATGCTTACACTAGGTTAGAACATTAAATGGAAAAATACACAGAATACATAAATATATATTTTTTTTAAACAAAAGAAAAATCTCAAACTATTTACTAAAACTACATGCTGTAAACAGGTTTGAAGGGTGGTGAAAATGCAGACTGTATTAAAAGGGGGTTTGTTTTTACCATCACTTCTTATACAGCGAGGAGGTTCAGAGGACCAGTGTCCCAGTTTGGAGCAGGTGAGGATGATGGATCCGACCGGCAGGTAACCGGGGTCACAGCTGTACCGCAGTACTGTGCTCACAGGGAACAAACTCCTATTGGAGTCTGTCAGATTAGTTGAGCCATGCTGCACTGTGGAGGGTCTTACACAACCTTAAAAAGGGGACAAATAACAGTTAAGATCTCTAATTAGCTTAAATATATTTTGTATACAGCACATTTGTTACAAAGTGCTAAACTGGTCAAGTTAAAACTAAGTTTAGTTTTTTCTTTTTTATGATCTATGGCATTACAACTTGCACATAACAGATATTTTTGAGAATACTTCTAGCCAGGATTATGCTGTTTCTATAGAAATGCAGGTGATTATATAATCCAGTGAAAAGCAAGGCCACAGTCAGTCAAATTAGGAGCCATGTGCGGTTCAGATTGTTCTGAAAAATGAATTTATCTTATTGATACATCTCAGTTTGAGGACTGACCAACCTTGGCTCACACAACTGATCTGCATGGGTCCGTCCCACTGTCCGTCCTGGCAGGTCAGGTAGTTATAGTCTCCACTGAGAAAAAAGCCATCGTCACAGAAGAACTCAATCACAGTGCCGTGGGAAAACATCCGGCAGGGCGCTGGGTGGCAGGTGTAGCCCCCATGTTCGGGTTTGAAGAGGGGTAGACATGCTGATGGAGGAAAATAAAACGTAACAAATAAAGCAGCAACAAGTGCATGGTGTTGTTTATCTATAACCATAAATCATTACAAATAATTTACAGAGAGAAGATTTTAAATGAGGTTAGCTGCTCACATCAGACACATTCTACGTTACTTTGTAGATTGGACAAAGACTGAGGTAGACTAAATAACTTACCACCACTGCGTATACAGTGAGGAGGGTCAGAGGTCCAGCGTCCGACTGTGCTGCAGGTGAGGATGCTGGGTCCGTCTGGCAGGTAACCAGGGTCACAGCTGTACTGCAGTACTGTGCCCACAGGGAAGGAGCCCCTGTTGGTTTCTGTGAGGTTTACCCAGCTGTTCTGGACCATATAGGGCCTCACACATCCTGGGAAGAAAAGACGAAACAAATGAGAAATTCTGTGAAACTGCGCAGGTTTTCAGCAGAATTAATACAATAAATATTTTGAGCCGTGTTTGATACATGTTACCCAGTGAAGCCACCAGTAAGTGACACACAATATGACCTATAATAACCATCTGCATTACAAGAGCATGGCACCAAATGTGTCCAGAAAATGTCGAAGCTCTAATTCTACCTATTACATAAATTGCAATATTGTATGGTTTGGCAGTGTCATGGCTAATCCCATCCTCTTAAATCGGGACATCTGTACTAAATTATTTTATGTTAAATATTCACTTCACTATTGCGTAACAATAACATGTGAATATCACTGACATCATAATGGATGGTTTAAGTGCTTTTTTATTAGGTCTGCAGGATTACTGAAAATAAATCTGCTTGGATAAACTGTAAAATGTTGAAAACAATGTTAGGAAACAGTCACTACGGTATCCCCTGTGCAGTATGACATGCAATACATCCCTTCTTTGTCAGGATTGTTTGATTTTAAACCATTGTGTGTGTTATAGATAACAAAGCTGAATAATACTATTAATATTCGTAAAAGAAAGGTTAACGTACAGATACAATCTAAAATGCTTAACATTGTATGAGTGTTCGACCATCATTGTGCTCCTTACCTGACCCTTGCCCAGTGGACACTGCAGTCAGTACCAGCAGCAACAAGAACAACCGTTTAGTGGATGAGCGGTGGGCCCACAAGGCAACTGATGTTGATTGTATCATTCCATCGCACATCTTTCCCCGCTGAGTCAACTCAACCTGGTATGATCAAAACATATTGTAAGCACAAAAAGGCTATACATAATATGATGAAAACGCAATCACCCAGAGCCTTGACCACATGCTGTCACCTGGCTGGCGCAGGTACTCTGCAGAGCTTGGACAGCTTCCAGCGAAATGGGTGTGATTTTGGTACAATGACAGCACTGAGAAAAAAAGCCTAGCAAAAACCATTTAGCAAGTTAGCGTTTTTATTGCGAAACCCATGCCAGTTGCTCCCTTTAATACCGTTAATTATCTAAACGAAGCGACGTTTTTAGCTAACCATGTCACCCACACGTCAAATATAACCATGTTCCTGAATGGTTCTATCGCAGCAGCTACACACCCATTTTCGGTGCTTCCTTGTTAGCCTTAATAGCTACGTTTGATAACGTTACAGGGAGCAAGGCCAAAACAAAAATAAACCACTGTTATACACCGAGTGTACAATGTGGAGTATACTTAGCTAGCAACTAGCAAATGTGCAGACACCTATCGAATATGTATATTCAACGAAGCACATCACAGCTGGTTTGATTGTTAGGCTAGCTGCCTTGGACAATCAATATTAGCCTTCAAAGCTGGCTAACGCTAGTAAGACATAAAAAGGGCTCGTTGTTTGGCGTTACCTACCACAAAAACACGGCCTCGAGTCCTCCACCTTCACGTTCTCACACTGTATACATTTATTAACACTATCTCAGCTTCACTGACGACATTTGACGTTACTAATTAAACGAAGATATCATTTAATAATCTAGCGCAGCGGTGCAGCTACAGCTAACCCCTAGCTAGCTCCCTACTAGCTAGCTTGTTACCCGCTACGCTAGCTAGCAGCATCGATTGAAGCATCAGCTTGGCTGCCTCAATTCCGTCCGGGAGCCATAGTAACACATGCATATTTCCATAGTTACAACATCCGGGACTGTTTGCGTCCATAGTTACCAAAACACAAGGAGACAAGTTGTTTTACTTAGGCAACAGCAATTTAATAATATATATATTTTTGACGTTTTACTTCTTGAAATCGCACCATGGAAATCATCAAAGGTACTTTGGATGACATTTCTCGACCTGCATCGAGTGAGCAGACAGGCAGCCGTGTGTCAAGCATGTCATATGGTGACAGAATTGGTACAACTACTCCATTTGCTCTGGTTGTTTTGACTAACGATGCTGCTGATGTTCAGGTAATTTAGTAAAAAGCGATACATTCATGGTTATTGAATTTGACAGAATTAGATTTCAAATAACGTTCAGTCGTTCACCCTGTAGATCCAGAGCCGTTATGAAGAACGTTTAATCAACTCCTCATCCAGAGGTCTGGACAAAGGTAATTACATTTTTTCTAATGAAGAACTACACTGTTTTTTTGTATGGTCCCATTACTCAACACTCTTTATAATATTTGTGCAATTTTAGGCCAGTGTCCCCTTGAAGTTTCCGATGAAGAAAAAGAAAATCCCCGACTGCAGAGGGCCTTTGAGGAAATGAAACGACTTGATGACATACTTTCTACAAAGACCTGCATTGAAAAAGAAGTCAAGCGTCAAAGGAAAGAGCTTCAAGCTAAACTCTGGCAAGAGCTCATGGTAGACAGTGTTTGCATTCGCTCCATAAACATTACCCATACAATTCGGGTTTTTTTTAAACCTAAAAATTGATCACTCATATCAAGTATGGTATAATCTAACACTTTTTCCTGCAGCAGAATAATCGTGAAGGTCACTCTGAATGCGCCCAAGAAGCCATGAACACAAGGTTGTTTTTGGCTCTGGAAGCACCCACTGGTAAGCAAAGGCATGAGTATACAGATCAGATGCAGTCACTGTGAGACATCTGAAATGTATTTGTTTTATCTTACAGTAACAGAAGGGGAGGACAACTTTGTGCCTGTGTTTGAAACTCAAGTTCCTGACTGGGAGCAAAGCCAAGATAGCCAATACTTGGAACAAAGTGAGTTAATAAGAATCGAACATGAAATCAAAAGCAGAAGGCCTTTTTCCAAGTTATGATCTCTGAAAAGTATTACCTAGATTGGGCACATGATGGCGCCCTTAGTTAGGGAAACTAAGCCGTTCGTTTTTTCTTTCAAAGTAGACTGTGGCAGATAGCAGTGCACTAACTCAATTTGCCAGTGGTCAATGTATAACACTTTACCCACTATGCAACTCATGAACAATTTCCTGATCAAGATCTTGTGGCTTTTGGTGATATATCGATTCCCTAGGGAAAATAAAAAACACCTTTCCCCCCCAAAAAACAGCAGATAAACCTAATGTTTTTTCTCTGCCTAAATGCTGACATTTAGAATGATTGTCCACTTGTTATTATACAGGCTTAAACCTCTTACACTTTAGTTCAAGCATGGTTTCACACCCACTATGCTGCCTTGCGGAGCTAGCATTCAATTAGTAGGCTACCTATTCATATGTCACCATTTCGATATATTTGGGCAGCTGCAAACTTCAATCATGTGGATCAGATAATGGAATAAAACTCCATTGTTTAAAAATGACTAATAGTAATTCCGTGATTTCTATCTGAATTGGCTGAAATAAAAACCTTTGGAATCTAATGTGTGGCATTGCCTGACAGGTGAAAGGAGGCCAGACAGCTCAACAGACTTATTTGAACAAGACCGCGAGGAGACTGGGGAAGAGCAATTTGAAGGCAGCCACTGTGGAGCTTCCAAAGGCAGGAGAAAACAGAAGGACTTTGTGAAGAGAAACATTGAGGTATGTAAAAGTTCACATTGGGCCAAATGCAGTGCTGGGGTAAATCGCATGTCTTAGAGCAAGTACCTTAACCGTTTGTGTTTCCAATGAGTCAATTATTTGTCTCTCAAGAGAAAGAATGGAAGCATAGTAGGGCACCACAGCAAGAAATACAAATGTTTATTATGAACTGATTCCATTCTCTTTTCCCCCCCAAATCCTCTAGTTAGTAAGTGAGGGGGACCAAGTGCTTTTGACTCAGGCTGAGTTCGAGCGTCTGGCCGAGCTCCTTGGAGAAGTAGAGGAAGATGAAGAGGAGAGTGCCAGAGGTGCAGACAGCGAGGTAGGGTGACATGAAGCCCTACACCAGGGGTAGGCAAGTAAGTTTGGCCGTGGGCCAATTTTTTGCTGAGCCGCAAGATGGCGGGCCAGAACATAATCAAAGCCTAATTCAAGGAATTGATTTTGGTAAGAGGGCGCAGCGCCCCTGTTCAGAAAAAACTCTTATATCGCTGATAAGCCTCCCCATCAACACTCTGATGCGCAGTCAGATCCGCTGATTGGTTCACTGATGATATAGGCGACCAATCCAGAGCCTCTGGCTAGACCCGCACAAATGGAGGCTCGTCCTCTCTAGCCCCATTTCAGTCCCAAAGCCAGGGCTATTATCTGTATTTTAACAGACTTATCTTTTAAATTGAGGTGTATTTATTGTTCTCTTCAAAGTCTATTTTTCTCTGAAATTGTAGGGAGGATGGTCCTCCCTTTCCTCAATGGACGAGCCTCCACTGAGTAAAGTAGAGTTATTAACTAGCAGTGTTATTTAACATACTTTTATTCTGATAAGTATTGTCAAGTTCTCTGGGTTTTTGGCATTTATTTGAGTGTTTGCCCACATTTGAGAGGCTTGAGGGACAACTGGAATCCTTTTTCCTTTTCTTTATTTCAACTTTTCAAGAACACATTAGGATTCTTTCAGGTTGAAAACCTTTAAAAAATACCAAAGGACAAAATAAATCAATTACAGCAGTTTTGCTTTGCAATTTCATATATTATAACCAAAATTAATCAGTAACCAAGTATTTTACTCAAACTCAATGTATTTAATAGTTAAATAAGTACTTTAATTGACCTGGTTCCGCCCAACCACACATTTGCCATATGTGACCCGCTCTATCGAAATCAGTCGAAAGTCGCAACGGCTCATTTCAAAATAAAAGTGGATTTGCGTAAACAAATAGTTTTTCGGGGATCGGGTGTTTTGTTTGATTTTAAATAAACAAAGTCTTGGCTTTCACAATATGACATTTTTATTTCCAAAATCACACGATAAATATATGTTTGAAGCTTGTAAAGGGAAGATGACAGCTCTCCCTAGCCACTCTGCTCTTCCACAGCGCCGCTTCCCCTCCCTCCGCTGACATTATGAATGTAAGCTGATAGCCTATATCGGGACAGAATTTATTTTACCGGACACATTTGAAACTTACTGGTCATGTTTCAATAATAATAATAAGAATTGTGTAGCAGAGTTTCCGTTAGCAGGTAATAATCACCGGACTAGGACCGGATATGGATGCTGATGTTTAAAACTCAGTTAATGGGGCTCATTTTTATATTTCTTCAGTTTATAATCGTTACAGATCAAAAAATTCAGATTCATTTTTCAATAAATGATTCCACAAACAACATAATTATTACATTCAAACAAACTACTTGTAGTAGATGAAGTACATTATTCAAAAGTTTACATTAACTTTGAATAATAACACGGGAGAAACCTTTATATATACAGTCTATGGGAGAAACGGATGCTCTCTTTTCCCCTCTCCCTCCTGACTGCCCGTCAGTTTCTCATGCAGCTCGCTAAACAGTGGGCGGGGCTTCAGGTGATCATGCAGAGCTGCGTGTCTCCATCAGACTCAGCAGCTGATCTGATCTCTCTCTCGGGTCCGGTTACACTTCACTCGCGTTTATGTCCATATCGATCAGATCCAGCTCTCCTGATCGGCCTTTATAGAGAGCACCGATCAAACTATTAAGAGTGAATATCGGCCGATAATGACCGGCGGCCGATAATGACCGGCGGCCGATCGATCGGCGGCTAACGGAAACCCTGATGTGCGACTGTCGGTCCTATGTTGTAAAAAAATAAAAAAAATATCAAAATAATATTTTATTTTTGATTCTCAAAATTACGGGCCAAATATTATTGCTGGCGGGCCAACAATGGCCCGCGGGCCGCCTGTTGCCGACCCATTCCCTACACCATGTGCTGCCAGATGAGTTTCTTTTTTAAGTTCCTTAATACTTCCCCCTCATGTCTATATGCGAGAAGCAGATGATACTGATTCTGCTTATACCAACATTTTGATCTAATATAACATTTTTAATTAATTATTTGAATAACCAAATGTTCATTTCAGTCCACAACCTTTTTAAACAATTTCAGTTAAGGTTTATTTTATTTTATCTGTGTTAGAATCTAACATTCCGCTTTTCAAATGCTGTTTTTAACACAGTATAACTTTGGAGCAGCACAAAGAGTACCATTGGTCAGGCGTTCATGTTTTAATGGTTGCTTGGCAGCTCGGCAGCCTCTGGGCAGAAGATCCTGACTCCTCAATGCAGTTCAGATTACAAACCAGATGTCAAGTGGCATATGAAGTTCAAATGGAATGCCGCATGTCATAGATGAATTTTGTTATCACATTTTCATAACAATTCCCCCTATGGTGTTTCTGTGAAACCAGAAGCCAGGATCTTTCATATAGCCCTAATATAAGCTACAGTTGCTCTCATTAAGAGGGTGTGCTGATAGAGTTCACAGACTGAGGCCTCTTGTTTTCTTTCATGATTCATCTGAGGGCCCGTGCCACCTGGAGCAGTAGACTATTTCCCTGTGAACCCACCTACGCCATTCTCACTTCAAATGTTTTTTATTTTAAGTTTTCATTTAATTTAACAGCCCTTTTGGCAGGCAGTTTGAAGTCAAATGAGATAGAGCCTGTTGGGAACGAGAGGGAACGTACTTACCTTTCACATACGGTTCCATTTAGCCTGACCCCGACAGTTCTACATCCGTGGGACAGCTTGCCAGAGTTTGTCTTGTTTGTGTCTTGCTGCTCTATTTATGATGTTTGCCTTGACTTTCAGAACAATACTGCAGTAATTGTGGTGTCAGATACCAAACTGAGGGGAGCGCCGATGCTCTGGGTTCTTTTATTGGTTGGAGGAAGGCTTCCTGTTATTGCAAGGCGTGCTACTGGTACTGGTGAAAACGGAGCGAGCACATTATTTATGTCGACAGGACTCTGGCAGTGATGCATCTTCTATTCTGTGGACTTCACTTATATTTTAGCCAAGACACATCAACCACTTGCTGCTGCTTACTGTTTGTCTAACACACTTTTGTTTACGTTACCAACTCTTATTCTAACAAGTTCCACTGTTTTCTGTTGCTCTGGTAACTCGAGGCGGCAAATCAGTAGCTGTCACTTGATGGAGAACATTAGTGGATTTAATCTCAAAAGGAATCAAAGGAAGCTTTGACATGGGTAACACACTTATTTAATTGCTGTCAAGAGTTGATAAGAAGATTGATCCACTCTTGAGAGTTTTATGAAAACATCAAGATCATCCAAGGGACAATAAGTTTACTGTAGCCTTGCATAAAGACTATAGGAACAGCTAACCTGGCTCTGTCTGAAAGTGACACAATCCTTCTAATATAGCAATTCCAAAGCTCAGTAATTACCAATCTATTAGAGGCTTATTAAATCTGTAAAAATAACAAGTTATTGTTTGGCAGGCGGACCCAGGCTAGCTGTCCTCTCTGCTTCCAGACTTATTGCTAATCTAAGAAAACCGGCTGGCTATAGCTTCATATTCATCCCATAAACAAGTGTCTTTAATATTCTCATGTAACTCTTAGTGAGAAAAAAAAGTAAGCATATGTCCTTAAATGTCAAATTCAAAATGTTTTCCACCAAAAACGTTATGTTCTCCGTTCAGTTTGTTCGTAGGTTTGCTTTTGTCCATTGTCAGAAATATTAAGGAACAAATCCAGGCCGAAATCTTATGACACTTGGTGGAACGGTGTAGCAATCGACCAGAGAAAAAAACATGCCATGTTTGAGTCACAAAACAGATACAACATTATACCTTACTTATGGAAACTACGTTGGTTGATGTCTGTACTCTACGAATGCCCTTCTAGTTTTAGATGGATTTATTTGTTGCGATTGTGGCATGCTATCATTCTGTCCTTTACAGTTTTATATTAAAAGTCCCCTATTATACTGTTTTTCATCAATATATTATAGGTCTCAGATATATACAAAACATGTCTCTGACGTGTTTGGCTTGATATACCAAACAGATCATGCATTGTACACTCTGAAAACGAATTCAGGCGACCTTTCACCTCCACTTAATTAAATGCATGGTTGCAAGATAAAAATGTGAGTTAATTGATTTAGATACACATTTTAAGTTGCAAACATTCATTTATAAGTTGTGTTGACGTAATAATGTTGGTAATTACATCAACTTAATATTGTGTGTAATTTGAACTCTGATTTCTGCGTTAATTGACTTAAAACAAAATTCAAGTTGTAGTAAGAAATGCAATTGGCTTGATAACTTCATTGTTCTCCACCTTGAGTTAAGGATTTCAAGTCCACTCCCACTTAACATGCCTGGACAAGTTCCGACAGTTAAGACAAATAGAAATATACAAAGGACATTTTAAGGTGAGTGTCATCTTTTGTCATTCAAATACAGTAGATAGCCTTGTAGTTGCACTGTATAGGCAAACTGCTTGACAAAAATTAGCAGCCTTTGAACTGTGAATAGTTCTGTGAGAGGATACAAAGTAGTAGAGGCTACTGTGAGAGTAAAAATACTTTGGTTACTATTGTGATATCTCTTTTTATTCAAAATGAATCTCGGTGAAGCAGACCTAGGACATGCTTCTTGAGGTAGGATCGTTATTTAGAGTTGTCATTGAAATGCAAGTTGTTGGCAGTCACCCATTCAGAATATATTCATTTAGGTCATTTCTCTTTTTTTCCTTTTTCAAAAATAGCACAATACAATTGCAGTACGCAGAGAACTATAGCCATCCGCTGCCTTGTCGTGTACCTTGGAGAAAAGGAAGAGGACCTTTTCAAGGAGTTTAGCGACGTAATTACAAATCTTGAAATAAAATAAAATCCACGGGCACAGTGACACAGGACAAAAGCACTGCTCTCTGTCAGTTACATTTTGAAGCATATTGCACTTTTGGCCACACCCCAATCAATAATATCTTAGCAACGTTCAGCATGGATAGGTGTTGACAGCAATGGCATGGGAAAAGGATTGTGTACAATTTTGAAAAGTGGCTTCTGCTCTTCTGCTCCAGTTCAAATATTGTATGGAACCTGCAAAAAAGATGAGAAGATACACTAAAACTTGCACGGTTGTGATTGACAAAATCTGTCCACATGCATTTAAACACTAGGCAAAGTACTCAAAACCACCTCTGTGTGTCTTCAGGACCACATTGCCATGACGACACACACATGCAGACTCAATAGGTGAAAACAATAGCAGCGTTGCTTTAGCAGCTGGTAATAATGGCTCTGAATTAGCTAAGAGGGACAGTTTAAAAAGTATGCAATTACCTAATTCATTATCTCTAATGCGCTAACCTATTATTTAATGTGCTTCAAAAGGACATGAATATCGCCTTCATCAGTGACCGGTCCACCCCAGGATCTGACCATACGATGGCAACCATCGTGGTCGAGGGAAACAAATAAATGAGCAAGCATTCTGCGTTAAATGTGTTCATACTGTTTGAAATAATGACTGTCGGCAGTGTAAACATCTTTGTTACATCTTTTGTAAAATGGATGTGTGTGATCTGCAGGTTGGTGGCCATTGAGAGTTTGTTTCTGTAGTTTTACAACAACTTTACAGATGTTACATATTTGGCATTGGTTTTAAATATGCAAAGGCCTCTAACTTCGTTGTGATGGCAGCATGTATTTGCTGTGTCCCCATGTCCCATGGTAATATGGCTAATGTGTTTATTTATTATTTGTGGGGCAATTAAAATGTGTGTTATTTATCTTTTTTTTCAAGATTTAAATGAAGCTCAGCGCAAGTTCTTTCAGGAAGACTGGGTGTATATACATTCACTCCGCAGCTGCATATAATCAGCTCATCACAGGCGTTCTCTTTAACCTATTACATTTCACCTCATTCTCCAGCAGCCAATCAATGTGCTGCAGCCAAACTATAAAATGGTTCTCCTCTCTCCTGCAGTCAGCTGTGATTTCAGGTGTTCATGCACCTTATCATATGGCATGTGTCAATAAATGTTCAAACTAAATGAATTCTCTCCTGATTGAAACATCATGTGTTGAAATAAACAACTGCAGTTCAAAATAAACCTTGGTAGTGTATTGCTAATGGTTACACAAGCCAAAAATCGTTATGACATCATAAAGTGGCCAAAAATCTGATCAGCTCATTTTCAGACAGGTTTTTATATAAATGGATCAGGACAAAAAGTGAGTGAATCTTTTTTCCTGAAACATTCAGAATTTCTATACACAGAGGGGACACATGTTGAAAAAGTGGATTTTGCATATTAGGTGACCTTTAATCTAACAACTGAAATATTAAAGCAATGATCAGAAGACTTAAACACAAAGGACAACCCGAGGCCCGACTGAAGTTGAGATTGAGGTTTTCTGACACATCCAAGTAAACCACTGCAATGGTTCAAATCTCCACCAGAATATATCTTGCAAATTGTTGATCTCATTTGTTAATTCTTGGCTCTGTGTGGTGCTCAGCCCAGTTGATAGAACCTTCTGTTTGCCGTCTTCAAATTATTGCAAGATGTTATCATCACTAGGCTGTGATGTGCTCACCACAGACCCACTGTGTCCCAAAGGACTTCAGGAGTGTCCACTGAGGGGGAAAGTTTGGGCTTTTATTAGAAGACTGATCAGAAGCATGTTCCCCATCAAGAAGTGTATACCAAGTGCCAGATCAGACTTGTAACTCTTTCCCATTTTATACATCACTGTCACAAAGTTGCCAAATAAGCAATAGATATTTGTCAGTACCCTACTTCACTACATAAAGCAGACTTAAAACTCTATGGGCCATGACTGATTTCAGCAATAATTTCCTTTCCAGGGGGATATGTGGGCCGTGTCCGTCCCGACAGGCCAGGGTTACATCCCTGAGCCCTCTGACCTGGAGCAGCTGATTGACATTGACTCCAAAATGCGCCTTCTCCTTCCTGTCGAAGAATTTGCCTCAATGAACAGCTCGTACAGAAACCTGACCATGTCCCAGGTATGTATCCGACTGCACTACTGTCTTCATTATTAGTTTATATCGTTTATTTAGAAATCGAAATGCCATTGATAATGCGCTGTGGCAAGGTTGTTAAGTCTTTTGCAAGGTCAGCTCTGTATGGCTTGGATGGCAACCTCTTGTAATTGTGTTTGTTACTCCCTTATTTGTCAGTGGGAAAAAATAGTATTGTGTAAGCTGCTGTAATTTGGAGCTCAGGGTTGCCTTACTTTTCCATCCTCTTTTTTCCATATAAAGTTTATATAAAGCTTCTTGTGCATTATATGCTCCTTGTAAATGTAATGTAAAGCTTTTGCTTTGACCATTGTTTTATTATTGTCATTTTCCATATGAGCAATGGCAATTTGTATACATGTAGGCATTTCTAATTAACCAGATTTGTTTGCCCATAAAGAATATTTTTTGATGCTGGGATTTCTATTATTTGGTCATCTGAGTTATTCGTATATATTTATACAGTCCGAGTTAAGTAACCAACTCAAGTAAGTAAGTTTAGACTATGATCTGATCACGACCACATCAGACGGTGGAGAACCAACTTGATATCTATAACTGTAAAAGATTTTCCATGCCTGGGTCCTGGGTTCGGGCCGGCTCCTAGACGTGAGCTCAGAACCGTATCTAACTGCATTTTAAAGGCCAGATGGCGTGCTCATCATTTGCATAACCTGCCAGTGGAAAATTGTGTTTTTGGAATCATTAAAACTTTACAATGCAGTTTTGCGAACTCAGGTGCCATTTTCACTATCACTACTGGATGTAGACAAGGAAAAACGGCAGTACATCAATCCTGGTGCTGGAACAGTAAATGATCTTTGTCATGTCTGGAATATGGCCGGTCTAATTACTTTCCCTACATTTAATGTGAAGTGAATCTTTGGCCTAATTAAATAGTACAAAGACTGTTATATGCCTTAGCAGCTGGATGTGTTGGACCTACTTCACCTCCCTTCCCACACTTTAATCCTCTTGTCTGGTTAAAAGAGTTTAGGGAAAGTAAAATTCCCCATCATCCATCCATCATCTGCTCTGCATTAGTGCTGAAATGGCTAATGCATGCATTCCTTGATAAAAATACGACAACTGTTTTGTCACTAAAGTAATTATTAGCAGCTTCAACTTCATATGATGAAAAATGTAATGTAGTGTTTTCTTGAAATGTAAAGTGAGAGGTGGGTAAACCTCACACCTGGAGGACTTATAAATAAGCTTTTCTACTACCCTTCTTTAATCCTGCCTCACTGGTGTGGCATATATTAGAGATACTCTGCACTGACAATAAATCTCTTTCAGAGCCAGCCATTCATTCCACATCAGTGCCTGTAAATCTTAAAGGTGGCCATAAAAGAAAATATGCTTTTATTTTGCGGTTACCTTTCAACTCTGCAGTAGCTCGAACCAGTCAGATGTGCTAACTGAAACCATTTGGACTAAAAATCAGGAACCTGCGTATTTGCTTGCTACAGGGAAGCATCTAAAGCACAAAAGAGATCAGCATATCTTAACGCCATTGAACGCCCCTCCATAATATTAAATCACAACCCAGATGTCCAGTTTGCTGTTCTCTCTGGTTTTCTGTGCCCTGTAGACCCTTCACTTACTATATGGATGAAGGAGTTATTCACCTCTCTTCTCCATTCAGCACTCGCTCAAAGGATCAGTCATGGCTTGAATCTGTGATCTCAGAACTTGGCGGGATCTTTTCCCAAAAAGCTATGATTGATATTTTGAGTCTGTGCATTCCTTGTGCAGTCCTCTTTGAAAGTATCCTTTCTGCCTGTGCGGGTAGAGGCAGCCTCGTGAGGCCTGGCACCAGCTGGGATACTGCCACAGAGGAGAGTCAGGCCCCCCCATCGCAACCTAATTACATAGCTGGTGAGGGCAGAGGAGTGCCAGAGCAAAACAGGAATAAGGCCTTGCCTTTCATCTAGAGATATACAGAAATGCTCACTACATAGATAGGACAGACTGCTGTTTAGTGGGTAGAAAGAACAATAACTTACATATTGCGGACAATCATTTTTCTAAAAAGGGGGGGATCATCTCTGCATTAAATGTTAATTTTGGCACCTTTGTTGTCTAAAAACTGCTAAATGGCTGTGCCAAACATGCCAAACTTAAGGCTGCAAAACAAACCGATTGTTGACATTACGGTGACCATTTCCACTTCCCATATACAGTCTAATATCATACTGATTGACTGAATCATAAGGCACAGAGAAATCCATGTCATACTGCCCCGAAACATAGAATCAGTATTTGTGAAAGCACAGTATCACTCATTACATTACCACGAGGTGAGTCATGGTGAAACTCTGGATTAGACAAAGCCTTGTTTTCTTTGCCTCAGGTCATACTTGATGAAAAGGTCAGGTAGATCCTCCTTGAACGATCTGAATGGAATCAAAACACAATTTGAACAGTGTTTTCATTGGACCACTGCTTTGGCATTCCTCATTTTTTCCCCCATTTTCTCAAGGCTTCAGCTGAAATAGCCTTTCTGTCATTAAAAACATCTGTTTGCACATAGGATTAACGTACAGTACCGTACAGCCTTCCTACTGTACCACTGTGGGAATGCCTGCCCCACCCACAGTCTGATCTCCCAGAAGAGAGGGATTCTGTCATAGAAATCAGCTGGTTTTGGGTGTTGGGTGACACTGGGGTGTAATTGTGTGTGTTTCACAGATCAGAACTAGGCTATTCTCTCAAATGTGTTTTTTTTTGCAAGTGTGGTTACAACAAAAATGTCTCAATGGCATTATACAATATGGTTTTCAGTCACTGTCGCACTACATTTGAAAGCAACTGAACTCTTCTAATCAGCAGGGCTTCAACTTCTTCTGTGTCTGCATAGTAACAGCCCAGCTGTGTTTTTGTTGTGTATCAGTGGCTATATTTTGATGTATAGATGAGGTAATTTAGTCACATTGTGTGGTTGCTGATGAGCACGCATGATTTAAACTACAACCAATGTTAAGTGAGAGAGCAGAGTTTTGGGCAGAGAACGCCCTTTCGACCAACACAATGTGGTCGGCAGAAAGTTAGCAAATTTATCTTATTTAGTCCGGGTCATATAATTAAATGGCAGCGGAAAAGCTTTGGTCACGTTATGTTCCTCTAAAATGTAGGTTAGTGCCTATTTGACATCATCAAGAGAAGGCTGTGTTAGAATCCAAGATAGACAGTCAGGATACAAGCTAACCTTAACATATTCATCAGGTTCAAACGTTTGATGAAGAGAAACAAAACAGAACTAGAAAGTAGAAGAAAAAAAAGTAAAAATGTGTTTCTTTTTAGTAGCGATGACAACAGGAAGACAAAAATAACTTATCCTCTTTGCTATAAGGAAGACGCTGTCCTCACTGCAATATGATGTTCATGTCCCTACTGAAATATTGGAAATATGATAATTCACAACAGAAATGGATCTGAGAAGTTTGGCTCCAGCACTTATCAACTTGGTAACCAACTTGCCAGTGAATTTATGCGGGTTTTTTTCAACAGTGCATTACGGTGAACAAGTTGGAATTCAAATATATGCTGGTATGAAAGTTTAATATCATCCTTGCAGCCTTTGTGGCTCACATATTTTTGCAGTAGTCTGGCTTTACAGCTGCACGGTGAGAACTAAGATGTCAGGTTTGTCATGTGGCATGCTTGCTGTTTTTCACAAGGTTAACTTGGCTGAGAAGAATTGACTCCACACCCTTCCCCACCCTATAATTCCCATGAGACCCAGTTTATTGTCATCTTATAAACGCCTCTCCCATTGGTGTTATCCACAGAAGCAGTAAGTGGTTCTAAGAGATTTATTTTCCTGTTATGGTTGAAATCTAACTTTCAACTGTTCCACCCATTATGACACTAGTAGATTATTCAGTCAAAAATAATCTGCTAACAATAAAATATGCTTAAAGTATTCGCTAATATTCTGCCTATATGATCCAAAAAATGTAACATTCAAGCCTTTTAGAATCACAACCCATTATTATTTGTAAAAGAATGCATGTTGTTGCAAGTTGTCAGCAGTGCACAGTTCCATATTTGATCTCTCATTACAAAAGCATTGCCTCATTGTGCAAGACTTTTGGAAGCTGAATTGTTGGTCAAATAGTGTGCCTGACGAACAGCATGTGTCACTCAGACACAAGAAGTAACAAAAACAACTTATGAGGAAAAGATGGTTTTTCCCTCCAGATGCTTCCGATAAATATTTACCATGGCGTGCTTCTTAAGCTCTTTGTTCACATTTATTTTATCTGTGTCATTATTTGGCGAACCCTTAAATGACCTTGTTTGAGCAAAGAGAGGTTGTGTGGAGATGACCAGATGAGTTTCTCTTAACCATAGTAAAAGCAATAGACTGTGGAGAATTTACTATCATTTGGAGGAATCACAGATGGAAGACTTTCCAAACCCAAGCAGTGAAAACTTCAAACAGACAGAAAAAAATGTCAACCTTTGATTGCTCTTTGCATTCTGCTTAGATACTGAGAACACACTGGTGGTGTGGAAATGTAAACCCACAATCACATTCAACATGTTTTTTTAATTGAAATGTGATTGCTCCAGACCACCCTCAGTTCTTTAAAAAAAGAATAAAGTCCAGATGAAGTGAATCTTCTAATACTTCAGGAATGTTAAGCAATCATCAAGTTATCAAACTCTGACCTACTCAGATGTAAAATCATGAACTCTGGAGGAGGAAAAAAGAAAGAGATACAAACATATCTGGGACATTTTCTAAGATGGTGGAAGGAACCTTCACGTTGTCTTTTATGAAGCAGATTAGACACATTTTAGGTCTGGCTTTAGGCCAAAGAATAACAGTGTTAAAAGAGTTAAGTGGTACAGGATACAAATGATTTGCACAACTTTGCACTAAGCATGCAGGTAGGTATATCATGTCTATGGCAGACATCTGTGTTACAGCACCTTTGTCTCAGAACTTTGCAGATGTTCGGAGGTCATAGCTG